GACAGCAAAGAGCTCCGTAAGGCACGAGAGCAGAGTGGGGGAAGAAAGAGCGGCTATAACAGAGATCAACTCGGGCAGGGTGGCTAGGTTTCTGCGAATTACACCTGGACATGTGTATGCTAGCAGGTTTTCAAAACAAGCATGAAAAGCAGCCTGGAAGCACCGAGTCAGCGGCTGAGGGCAGGGGGTGCCGTGCCCAGCAGAACCTTTTTCGGAAGGAAGCATTCACTCAGTGGGTGGGACAAGGGACAGCCCGCTGCTTAGGCAGTGGATGGAGAGATGAAGGGAAAGAAGGTTTTCAAAAGAAACCTCTGAGGTCCTGGGTTCCATCCCCAGCACTAGAGAGAAAAAACAAAAACCTGCTGGTGTGAATCTTAGCACTTGGGAGGGGCAGAGTCAGGGATCGGTAGATCTCTGGGTTTGGGGCTGGTCTGATCCATGTATCAAGATCCTGGCCTGCCAGGGCTATGCTGTGAAACCCTGCCTCAAAACAAAATAAAAATAAAAACAAAAAAAAACAACAACAAAACAAAACCAAACCTCCCCACAAAAACAAACCCAAAAGGCCCTGAGGTGGAAAGGGTCCTACCAGGTGAGAGGACAGTACTAGCGTTTAGTCAGAGCAAATGAAGAAAGGAAGTACACTTAACGTTCAGGCCAGGGCAGCAGCACCATGGGCCTTACTCACTGACCCTCAAGTATTCGCTCACTGCGCATGTGTTAGGGGTCGGGCCAGTGTGGAAGAATGCACCCACACTGAAGAACAAACCTAGGCCCCACGACCTCCCAGAGCTGAGTCTGCAGTCAGAGCAGGGAAACATGATCACCATCAGTGTGACATGAACTCTGGGACAGAGGCACGGGGGTGGGGTGGGGTGTGTGCGTGTGCGTGTGCGTGTGCGTGTGTGTGTGTGTGTGTGTGTGTGTGTGTGTGTGTGTGTGTGTGGTGGGGTGGGGTGGGGGATGTCTCAGTTGGCCTGGAGATGAGGCACCTGAAGAAGTACCTGGCGAGCTAAAGCTGCAGAGGAGGAGATGACATTTGCTAGGTGGATAGCGATGGGCGAAAGCACATTCTAAGAGCTGGTAATGGCCAAGGCCAAGAGAAAATATTGCAGTGAGGAAGGCCAGGCAGGGGCAAAGGAGAAGGCAGATCTATTGCAAGAAGTCTCATATTAAAGCAATACTCCCCTAAACCTAACTCCCGCTCTGCTACGGAGACCCCACTCCCCAGTTTTTTTCACTTAGAAAAACTTCAAACACAGATAAGTTGAACTAAGAGAACTTATGCACTCCATGTGGATCAAAAAAATTAACGTGGTTATCTTTTAAAGTGTTTTCTTTTTAACTTGTATAGATTTGAAAATTGTATAGACATAATACAAGCTTAATACTTCAGCATAGGCCAGGCATGGAGGCGCACACCTTTAATCCCAGCACTCGGGAAGTAGAGCCAGGCGGATCTCTGTGAGTTCGAGGCCAGCCTGGGCTACAGAGTGAGTTCCAGGAAAGGCGCCAAAGCTACACAGAGAAACCCTGTCTCGAAAAACCAAAAACCAAAACCAAAACCAAAAAAGCCAAAACAAACAAACAAAAAACGAAACATAAAATCTACACCCATTTTCTATTAAATGTTTCCACTGTCTTTCAAACGGCTTTTATTACTTTTCTTAGGAGGGGTGTTGGAGAAGGATGGGGGGGCTGGGCAGGAGGGGGTGAGACAGGGTCTCATCATGTCATCCAGCCTCCAACTCCGAAATCCTCTTACTTCACTTTCTCAAGTACTACTGGCTGTAGCCAGGTGTTTTTTTTTTTTTTTTTTTTTTTTTTAAGATTTATTTTTATTTTTAACTGTGTGTATATGTATGGGAGAGGGGGGCATGGGCATGAGAGTGCAGGTTCTCAGAGGGGTCAGGGTCCCCCGAAGCTAGAGTTACAGGTGCTTATGAGTGGCTTGGTGTGGGTGACAGGATCTGAACTCAGGTCCTCTGCAATAGTACACGCTCTTAACCACGGAGTCATCTCTCCGGTCACGATAGCCTGCGTAACAGGTGTTTTACAATGGGAAAAAATGTCCTCTTAGAATTTATCCGTCCCCTTCAATGACGGGATCAAGTTCACATTCTTCATAGGACAAGTGTTGCTGCTGGTTAAGGGTAACGGGAAGGGAGCCGGTGGAGCCTAGACATTTGGAAGCAGAAACGACAGCTCTGACAGCCAATGAGAAGGCTGGGAGGGAGGGAGCATAGGCTTGGGGAAGGCCTGGTTTCTGGCCTGGACAATTGCATTACTGGGAGGAACATGAATTAAATCCTGGTATCTTAAATCCTTGCCAGAGCTTCCGGGCATTAGCGCAATTGTTCTAGTAAACATCCTAATACAAACCATAGCTAAATACGATGAACTAGAGAGTACATAAGTCCGGGATTCCCACAAAGACCCGATTCCTTTCTGAGACTCATGTTGCAAGGTCACCCCAATACTCCTGTAGGCAATACTCTGTTTTTTTTTTTTTTTTTTTCTTTCAAATGTCATCTTACTTAACCTTTTAGCCAGTAGGAGACACAGCTGAGCAGTCCAATAAATATTCTCCCTCTAACAGCTGTCACACGAGGATGGCGCTGGCTGCTCTTTCCCTGCCTTCCTTACCGGCTCAATCTCCTCTACCCAATCAGTCTGTAAATGTGGGCACACACTAGGGCTTGCCTCTCAGCTTCTTCACTAGCCAGAGTCTTTTTTAAACACTTCCAATCATCACCGTGGCTTCAAAACAAAACAACGAGGCGTTGGAGAGATGGCCCAGCAGTTAAGAGCACCTGCTGTTCTCCCAGAGGTCCTGAGTTCAATTCCTAGCAACCACATGGTGGCTCACAACCGTTAAAGAGCCCACGCCTTTAATTCCAGCACTCGGGAGGCAGAGCCAGGCCAATCTCTGTGAGTTCGAGACCAGCCTGGGCTAGAAAGAACCCAGGTCTCTATCAACATTCCTATATGCTGACAATTTTTACCAGCTGCTTGGAGCCCAGACACTTGGTTTCTCCATTTGAACAGTCTGCACCTCAAACTTCACAAGGTTCTAAACTGCCCTGGACCCTGGGTCCTTCCTCCTTCTCTAAATTGCTCCCAGAAAGGACTGGCAGAAAGGGAGAGGGGAGGGTGAATGTGTCTCTAAGGAAGCACAGGGCATTTGGCTCCAGCAGGAAGTAGGGGTTCCTGGTAGGCCCAAATCTCGAATTTACCAGCTTTACAACTTTGTTAGGTCTTCAGTGAACGCCTTGGGTTTCAGCTGAATGCTTTGGGTTTCAGCTGCCTGAAACCTGTTTTCCAAGGAACAAAATACACACTTTAGAGGCTCGGATTGCTTGTTTAGTAGCCACAGGTGTCGAAGTTGTTTGCCCATTCTACTTGGAAACATGTTCCACATGACTTAAACAATTTGCATCTACAAGCTGCATCTGTCCTAGAAAAGGCACCGGGCCTGACACACTGAATTCACACTTTCCCTAGTCTCTGTGAGGCTCCATCTTCTGAAATGCACACCCCATACTTAAGACTGCTACTAAATTAGACAAGCCATATTATATAACGCTCACACAGGGCTGGGGAGACTCGGCTCAGTGGTTAAGACCATTTGTTCCTTTCCCAGAGGGCCAGAGTTCCATTCCCAGCACCCCTGTGGTGGCTCACAACCCACCTCTGTAACTCTAGTTACAGAGGATTGGATGCTTTCTTCTGACCCCTGTAGGCACCAGACATGCGCATTGTGCACATACACATATGCAGGTAAAAATACAACACATACATACACACACACACACACACACACTCACACACAAAATCTTAAAAAAGAAAAAAGTTTTAGGGCTGGTGAGATGGCTTAAAGGGTAAAGACACTAGCTACTAAATCTGGGGAACTAAATTCAATTTCCCAGACCCACATGGTGGAAGAAAACCAATTACACACTCGTGTGGGCAAGCGCGCACTAGATAAATCTACTAATTTTTTAAAAGGCAACATTTCAATTAGCGAAGGCTGGGCTTGGTAGTGCACACCTGCAATTGGAGTACCGGTTTGCAGAAAGTTCAGGCCGGCCAGAGATACATGTATCAAGACCTTGTCTCAAAAAGTAACCAGACATGGCTCAGCAGTTAAGAGCACTTGCTGCTCTTGTAGAGGACCCAGATTGAATTCCCAGCCCCCACATGGCGGGCTCACAAACCCTCTCTAACTCCACAGTTCCGGGGAATCCCAACCTTCTTCTGGCTACCACTGGCACCAGGCACATACGTGGTTCACATACATGCAGCCAAACGCTTCACACACATGAAATCAAAATAAATCCGTTTAAAAAAATAAAATAATAATCATACAAGGGAAGGAAGGGAAAACAAATCTGTCGGTAAATTAGGATGGCCTTTGGCTGTTTTGTTCAAATGTCAAGGTGACAGATTCAGACAACTGCACACGGAATCCACTGAGCGTTAGGCAAAGAAGAAAAAAAAAAAAGTTTGAACGTGAACTCCGCCATCTACGCCCGCTGGCCACTGTCGATGACTTTTCCGATCCACTCCACTTTCCAATTTAAGTCCAGAGACTTGCTCCCGAGTCGGGGGGGACCTGGGTGCAGAGCTTCCCCGGGAGGGTTTAAGGGGGATGGGATGGGGTGGAGGGGACCTGCCACCATCTCACTTTCTGCACAACCAAGGGGGCGACTGCGGAGGGAGAGCGCAGTGCACGGAGGCTGCGGGCAGACGTGGCCCGCGAGCCCGAGCCCGAGCCCGAGCCCGAGCCCGGGGCGGCGCCCGCAGGGACCGTGACCTTGAACCCCACGGGGGGGTGGGGGGGACCCCCCGGGAAGGCGCTGCAGCCACGCCAGCCCTCCGGCCGCCCCCCCCCTCCCCCTCCCCCGGTGTCCCCACAGTCCGCCCCGGGGACCCTGCACCCTTCGCCCCATAGCGGGCCCCTCCCCGGCCGGGCCCCGGAAAGGGCGGCGCTGGCTCACCGGAGCCCGGGCAGGAAGCTGCCGGGGGCGGCTGGCCGCAGCAGGCCTCCTCGCGCGAGCAGCACTCGTGCCGCCATCTTGCTCCGGAGCCTGAAGCTCCCGACCGCCCGGGTGCCGCTGACGGCGCCGCCGCCGCCGCCGCGACCCCTCCCCCCCGGCCGGGCCGCTCCGGCTAGGGCGGGGCAGGGGCGCTAGGCCGCTGTAGTGGAGGGGCGCGGCCGCCAGGGGGAGCAGCGTACGGCTGCGGCGGCGCGCCGTGCCGCCACCAGGGGGCGCGCCAGCCAGCCACTGAAGACAGCCACAGGGGAGCTCGGGGCCCAGAAATGGACATGCGAAAGGAACCTGGTCAGCGTTGGGATGGACACGGGGAGGTCCACAAAATAGGAGTAGGTTTGTGGAGAGGAGAATCCGGAGAGTATGGGAGGGACCCACTCTTTACAAATTACTTTCGAAGTTTTTTTTATCATGTAAATGTCATTTCCCCAAAAAATAATACTTTCTTTCTCTCCCTCTCTCTGTCTCTCTTTCACACACACACACACACACACACACACACACACACACACACACACACACACACAACACTTTGTGCATATTTGAGACAGAGCTTCCCACTGTAGCCCAGGCTATCCTCAAACTCATGGCAATCCCTCCTCGCAGCCCGCCCCTATGCAGGAATTACAGGCTTGCGCTCTCATGCCTGGTTATATTTTCTGTGTGTGTGTGTGTGTGGTGTGTGTGTGTGTGTGTGTGTGTGTGTGTGTGTGTGTATTGTTGTTTGTTTTAGACAGGGTATCTTGTAGCTCAGGCTGGCTTCAGAGTCGTGGTGTAGAGGAGGAGGACCTTGAAGGTTTTAGCTCCCTGCCTCCGCTTCCTGAGAGCTGGGACTACAGAGGCATGTTTCACCATGCTTGGTTTATGCAGTGCAAGCCTTTTTTTTTTTAAGTTTTCTTTTTTTTTTCTTTTTCTTTTTAGACTGTGTCTTGTGTAGTTCAGACTGGTCCCAAACTGCATAGCCGAGGATGACCTTCAATTCCTGAGCCTCTTGACTCCAGTACTCAAGAGTTGAGATCATAAACATGTACCATTGTCTCCCCCGCCACTGTTTAGACAGGGTTTCACACTGTAGTCTAGGCTGGCCAGAATTCTTAGGTAGCCCAGGCTGACCTCAAACTTGCAGCAATACCTGATTCAGCCTCCCAAATGCTGAGGTTAGAGGTGTGTATTACCCATCCAGCTATAAGTAACATTTTGTTTTCTTTTGTTTTCAAGACAGGGTTTCTCTGTGTAGCTTTGGAGCCTGTCCTGGAATTCACTCTGTAGACCAGGCTGGCCTTGAACTCACAGCGATCCACCTGCCTCTGCCTCCCAAGTGCTAGGAGTAAAGTTGTGAACCACCACCAGCCAGTTTAGAAGTCACACTTTTCTAAATGCCCTCTGGGTGGGCAGATACCTAAACTCTTGTCGTCTGGGAACTGTTCATTTAAGCATCCATTGGGTGCGGACCATGGGGAGTCCCTTTCTAGTGATGTGATTAGAGCAGTGTGAAGAGGTAAAATGGAGAGTTTCACAGGATGGGAAGTCAGCATGGAAGGGGGATCATGAAATAATGGGGGTGAGGTGGTATTGGATGGGTCAAGAAAGAGTTCTCAGAAGGGCAGAAGGAACAGTTCACTGCCAAGGGAAGGAGTCTGCCTGTGAAAGCAGGGTCAACCTAAAAGGCATGGAACTGGGTGAACACAGTATAGGACAGTAGTTCTCAACCTGTGGGTCGCGACCCCCTCGGTGGCCGAACCCCTTTTACAGGGGTTACCTAACTATCTGCATATCGGATATTTACATTATGATTCGTAACAGTAGCAGAATCACAGTTAATGAAGCAGCCATGAAAATAATTCCATGGTCAGGGGTCACCACAACTGTGTTAAAGGGTCGCAGCGTTAGGAAGGTTGAGAACCACTCTGATGAGGAAAATAGACTCTGTAAGGATAATAAAAGGGCTATGGATATAACCATGAGAACTTCAGCAAGACAAGAGTCGGCCAAACCAGAGCCAGAGCCCAAACGGATCAGAGAAACGCAGAGCAGCCTGGGACTCAGCTACCTTCAGAGGCTGGGGCCCAGGCTGCAGAGGCCAAGAGGAAGACACTGTCCAGTGACTGCCTGCATGGTTCTGGGTAAGAGGAGGGGTGGGAGCTGGTTCTCCTACAACCTGTAATCTTGATGCTCAAAGGGTGCAGTTTTCTTTTCCTTTTTTTTTTTTTTAAATGTGCATTGGTGTGTCACTTGCATTTATGTCTGTGTTGGACTCCTGGAACTAGAGCTACAGACAGTTGTGAGCTGCCATGTGGGTGCTGGGAATTGAACCCCGGTCCTCTGGAAGAGCAGCTGGTGCTCTTAACCACGGAGCCATCTCTCCAGCCCCATGGATGCAGTTTTCTAACAAGCAGAATTTGAGCATGCTAATATAGTAAGGAGCGTCTTGTTCCTTTGAGTGGGAAGAAGGCTGAGGGAATCCCATACAACAGTAGACCCAACTGTGGCAGGGCAGGCAGACATGCATGAGTCTTACTGGGGCAGGGCCTCCTTAAGAGCGGGTGGGCCCGTGTTTCTTGCACAGAGCCTCGGTTTCTTAACGTCTCTGAGACAGGGTCTTGCTGGGTAGCCCCGCCTGGCCTTAAATTTGTGGTCATTTGTTTACAGCTCTTGAGGTGGTTGAACTTGGGAGAACGGAGCCTGAAAAATGAGGCAGACTGAAGTCTCACACACTAGCCACCTTTACTCAGAGCATCAGGCAGTTTATACTCTGAAGGCGGAGGAGAATCCTATGAGTGTACGATCACAGGGACAAGACGCACGAGTGGCAAAACCAGGTTTTTTCGTCATATAATAACAGCAGTAAGCAACAGTGTCTGATCTGGAGTCAACTCACTCTTATCCCCTCCACCTGGGAGGGGCACAAACCACATTCCAAGAACAATTTCATGTCTTGAAGGAACTGAGGTCACAAGACTCTTTGTTTTCTTAGAGCATTCAGAATTCCCCTCAAACGACTTCCATTCCCAGGCTGTGTTCCTGAGGGTTATATGCGCAGTCACCAAACCCAGTTTACTTATATTTATTTAAAACCCGGTCTCACTATGCAGTTCAGGCTGGTCTCAAACTCTCAACCCCGCTTCCACCTGGATCTCTGTTGGAATGCAGCCGCGGCATTTATGCGTTTCTTTGCTGGCCCTGCTCTTGTTTTACTTAGCATTAGACCAATTAGTCTGTATTTTTGCCCCTTGGCTGCCATTTTGCTCTGGAGTTTCATTAGTTCTTTAGTCCAGTGCTCCCCCCGCCCCCGCCCAATACTGATGATTGTCCTAGGCAAGTGCTTTACCAATGAGCTGTATCTAGTTTTGAAGGAGGTTCTACTAAATTGTCTAGGCTTGTCTCGAACTTGCCATTCTCTGCCTCTGCTTCCTGAGTGCTGGGTTACAGGTGTCTACCACCACCTGTGGCTCTAGGCCCTAGTGGTTCTCAACATGTGGGGCGTGACCCTCAAAGAGATCGCCTAAGACCACCAGAAAACACCTGTTTCCAATGGGCTTAGGAACTGAGACATGGCTCCTCTCTATCCATCTCTAGACGAGTCCACCTGAATGAGTTCCAGAAACTGCATTAAAGGCTGCAGCATTAGGAATATTGAGAAACACTGCTCGGGGATAATTTCCTTTCTTTCTTTCTTTCTTTCTTTTCTTTCTTCTTTCTTTCTTTCTTTCTTTCTTTCCTTTCTTCTTCTTTCTTTTCTTCCCTTCCCCTTCCTTCCTTCCTTCCCTTCCTTCCTTTCTTTCCTTTCTTTCGACAGATTCTCACTGTGTAGCCTTGGCTGGCTTACAACTCAACTATGTAGACCCCTTGGCTGGCCTTTGTGCACCTTCAAGCCCCTATTCCTCATTACAAGAGTCCTCCGGAAGCCTAATTAAAAATTTTAAATTCAGCCAGGCGGTGGTGGCGCACGCCTTTAATCCCAGCACTCGGGAGGCAGAGCCAGGCGGATCTCTGTGAGTTTGAGGCCAGCCTGGGCTACCAAGTGAGTTCCAGGAAAGGCTCAAAGCTACACAGAGAAACCCTGTCTCGAAAAACCAAAAAAAAAAAAAAATTTAAATTCAAGTTATGAATTACATCTATGTGTTGGTGCACGTGTGCGGTGCCTGGACCATGTCCAGCATGTGAAGTCTGGAGGAAAAACCTCTGCTCTTTCCTTTCACCATGTGGGTCCCAGGAATGGAACTCGGGTGGTCAGGCTTGGTGGGAAGGGGGCTAGATTGTAGGTGTGCACCATCAGGAAGTCCCTCCCTGCAATCTTGTGCTTGCCAGGCCAGTACTCCACCGCTGAGTTACACCTCAAGCCCAAGAAACTAATAAAAACTATGTATCAGTGTGCATATCCACTTCTCAAGTATTTTGCGGATGCTTGGAGCTGGAGACCTGACTGGTCTGAGAGGTGCCAGTCATGTGCTGAGAGGACCACACAGCTCCACCAGAGCCAAACAGTCTAAAACAGCAGTTCTCAACTTGTGGGTCGCAGCCCCCAAGGGGGGGGCGTTCTTAGGAACTGAGACGCCGCTTCTCTATCCTCTCCAGGCGGGTCGGCTCACATACAGGTACCCGGAATTGTATTAAAGGATCGCAGCATTAGGAACCACTGTTCCAAACGATTTTTCCCTTCCGTCCCAATCCTGGCACCAAGCCAAGAGTTTTCCTTAAGTACAAACCATCCCACCTCTCTGTGCAAGGTTTAGGTTTTAGGATCAGTCTTTCCCCTGACCCCTCCACCCCCAGATAGGGTCTCTCTGTGTAGCCCTGCCTGTTCTGGAACTTACAGAGATCTGCCTTCCTCTGCTTCCCGAGTGCTGGATTAAAGGCATGCGCCACCACCGCTCGGCAGAATTAGTCTTTTTTTCCCCCCGAGACAGGGTTTCTCTGTGTAGCTTTGCGCCTTTCCTGGAACTCGCTTTGGAGACCAGGCTGGCCTCGAACTCACAGAGATCCGCCTGACTCTGCCTCCCGAGTGCTGGGATTAAAGGCATGCGCCGCCGCCACCACCACTCAGCCCAGAATTAGTCTTTTACAGTCAGTTTCCCAGCCCTTCATCTTATTCTAT